AAAAGTAGAGAGGATGCGAGTCAACCTACCATCACTGTTGGATCTTGCCAAGAAAGATATGACGCCAGAGGAAGCTAGAAGGTTGCAAGCCGCGGTGAAGAGGACATGAAAAGAGAGCAACTGAGGCTGAGGAAGCGGCAATGCGGCAACGGAAGCAGCACACGAAAGCAGTCGGCAGCAACGGCAACAAGGCACACGGCAACAACAACAAACCAAAGAAGAAACAAAGCCAAAGCGCAAGGCACCAAAACCAAGGACCAACCAAAACAAAGACCAAGCCCAAACAGAGCGCAGCAAACAGCGAGTAGACGTCCGTACCTGGTGTCCACGTCCATGGGTGATGGTTCGGCGCGCTGTGCTCTTCTTTGAAGTTATTGTGGTCTGGAGTAGGAAAGAGTGTCGTTGTGGTGGAGAAAGGAGTGGCGCTGGATGGAGGAAGATCATCATGGTGGTGTCGAAGTTTTGGTGGTGTCGAAGTTTTGGTGGTGGAGAGGTGTAGTCGATACGAATGGAGAGGTATCGGTATGTTGGCGTTTCGCCTCTCTACGATTTTTTGGATCGATCTGTCGGTTGGAGTTGTCACTTCGTTGGAACATCTTAGACTTAAAGGACCATTATTAGAAGACTTATAAAACCGGTACTCAAAGATTCATTTGGATCCCTCCATTCGGAATACGTCATCCGAATCCAAAGCACAAGAGCCAACAGTTTGTGGCATAGATAAGAGAAAGAGAGAGAGTCACTCGCGCATGCTATAACATGTAATGCTCCTAGTTTGCAGGTCAAAGACAAGGGAATGATATATTGATTGCTTTGGTTGCTTAAAGGCAGTCAATCGGTCTTGACAAAAGCTCTCTTTTCGGCCTTGAGTAGCAGCAAACCAATCGGAGATTGCACTCTTTCAGTCGGAGAATCCACTTGTGCGCATCTTGCTCCCATACTCTACGGCTTAAAGACTTGGGAATGATACATTGATTGCTTTGGTTGTTTAAATCGTTCCGGCACGATTGCAATCGATCATTGAAAGAGCACTCTTTTGGCTTGAGTATCATCCAATCACTGTCGGAGACGTATGCAATCGGCATGTCAACGCTTCTTATCTATTGACAGAAATCACGGGATCGTTATTTGGAGCATGCATTCCCGAGGATTCATCGATACTTTGGCTCTTGAGAACGCCTAAAGTATGGCGTCACAGACGGGTATCGATATTTGGATCTCTTGAGTAAGGGCTGAGCTCAACGCACGAGATCAAGCCTCTCCTATCGATGTCCTCTTTCATTCTTCATTCCTTGGCTCACAATTTCGACAATCCGCACCCAAACAGCGGTAGCTCTGCACTTTCCTCTCCAAGCTCTCTTCGCTTTACCATGAACAACAACTCCCCACTTCGCGTCTTCGACCTTTCGAGTCTACCTCTTTATCCCATCGATTCCACCATGGCCGACTCCAAACCTTCCGCCCAGCCGTCTGCCACCAAGACCGACACCACCATGGCCGATCCCTCTTCCGCCCAGCCGTCTGCCACCAAGACCGACACCACCATGGCCGATCCCTCTTCCACCAAGCGCAAGTGGAAGACCGACCCTAACTTCGCTGAGTTTCGAGGCATCCAAACTACCGAAATCAAGGGAGCCATGAACATGCATCACCAAGTTGATGCCGCCGCTTGGCATTCCCGAGTGCTGTACACGGACGAGAATGGGAAGGTTCTCTACGCTGTCACCGTTGTGATGCCTTCGTTGGTCTGCCACCAAGCATTCAACAAGAAGTATCTTGGGCCTCCCGGCGTTAACCACCCCGTCCTTCCCTGGTACCAGCTTCCGGACAAGGAGCCTTCTGACGATGTTGACGATGTTGAAGCCATCACGGTCCAGTGTTGCAACATGCATGGTATCGCCCTTCTTGCTCAGCATGGGTGGTGGGCCAATGCTGTTGTAAAATCAGGGGGCCAGTTGGAAGAGCATGCGCAACATCTGGTTCAAACCTTGGTCCATCGTCTGGTTCAAACCTTGGTCCACGACGGGGAAGGCGACTGTATCATGTTCTTGAGGGGTTCAATCCTCCCACCGGAAGAACTCGCAACCGCCCCCTCTGCCTTCCGTGACGCTAGCGAAACCCCTCCCGATGCTGACTTGATGGCCATGATTAAGGAACAGATCGAAGCAAGCCTTCAACGCCAAGAACAAGAAGGAGCCCGAGGAGAAGCGTTGGGTGCAGGGCCCATTGATTCCCATGCCAGTTCTTGCTGAGGGCCAAACACTGGTGGTTCGAATCAGAGCTTCAGGCGATACTGAAGACACTGTTCTTCGTATCAAGGCAGTGGCCAAGAAGGATCAGAAGGATGGCGGCGCCAAGAAGGACAAGCAGGATGACGGCAGCAAGAAGGACAAGCAAGATGACGGCAGCAAGAAGGACGTCAACAAGCCCTTCAAACAAGCTTTGCATCCCTTCATCCGGCCTGGTGAGGCCTCAAGCTCTGATTCTGGCTCGGACGATGATGATGAGGTTATGGAAATGCCTCCACCCGCCCCTCGCAAGATTGATGCCGTTGACTTGACCAATGTCGACACTACTGATGATGACGAGGAGGACGAGGATAGCGATGAAGAGGACTCGAACAGCAAGTAGATTATCGGCGCTCATGCTTATTTCATCGTAGCCTTTTAACACTCTATAGTACTATCGATTTGATACTACAACCACATGTACTCAAGTAGCTAGCTAGTTTGCTTGTAGTTGTTATGTGTGGAGCCAATGACTCGTCACTCCATGTAGCCAAGCTAGAAGCCAAAGCCAAGCCTGCCCGTGCCATCATGGTATGACAGTGACAGCTACTGTGTCTACTAGATTTGCTAGCTCTTGACTAGGAAGTAGAACCAGTAGCTGTCACAGTCATACCATGAGGGCAAGTCAATACATACACACTACAATGCGGCTAGCTAGCTAGACGAGGAGGGAGGAGAGTCAAGTCAAGTCAAGTCAATAGATAAGAAGAGTACTATTATTTTGGATACCTACACTGCTACTGCTGTTGGTGGGAGCATACCTCCCATTATGATTGTTGCCATTTGCCTTGTTGGTTGTCACCGATAGGTTTGTTGTTGTGGATTGCATATTCAATCTTCATCCTCCACAGTCTCATAGGTGTACTCAGTATCAGTGGACCGAGTGCTGATCTGCTGATTTCCAATCAAATCCACCAACTCCACCAAATCAGCATCTTCCTTCCTTTCATCCCAAGGTTCCAAGGTGCCACTGCTTTCTCGTCGTTTGTTGTGTGGTTTCTTCTTCTTGACAGGAACAACAGCAGCAGGGACAGGCTTGACTGCAATAGACATAGGAGGCTTCTTCAAGCAGCAGGAGGCTTCACTGGAGCCACCTCAACCGGAGTAAGACAAGGTTCAGCCACCACAACCACCTCTGCTCCTGGATCTGCTCCTGGGCCTGTTGGCTCAACAAAGCGGCCCTGGCCAGCAGGCAAAATGAACACAATCTCAATGCCTCTGTCAGTTTTCATAACAAGCTCTCTTCCTGAAAGGGGTGAGAATCCAAAGCTGACAAGTCTGGAATCCTTGTCAGCCACCTTCTCTGACAGATGAGTACCAACCTTCCTGCCCTGCTCAACAGTCAGATACTGGTTCTTCTTGAATCTCCAGAGGAAAGTGCAGTCTTCATCCCACACTTCCACTAGCATATCCAGGTTCGACAGCAATGAAGCAATGGCTCTGGTTGTGGCAGGGGAAGGCTTTGGCTTGGTCTCCTCATCAATACTGGTACTCAAGTCAAGTTGGTAGAAAGCAAACAAGTGGCTGTCGCCGGTCCTTGTGATATCCATCTTGAGTCAGTGAAAGGCTGGAGATGGAGAGTCGGAGAGTGGAGAGCCGGAGAGTGGAGAGCCGGAGAGTGGAGAGCCGGAGAGTGGAGAGTGATCCGTAGAGTGAGATCCAGAGCAATGAATCGACCTCTTCTTCTCTTCTTCTCCTGAAAGCCCTCAATATTTCACCACCAAAGCGGCGCCATAGGATTGTCAATGAGAGGATACACATGAGGTAACGGAGAGAAGCTGGCTAGTGGCCGAAAGAGGAGGAAAAGCACCATTGTGCCTCTTTTCGATCGATTCAAAAGTTTGTGGAGTGTGGCTCCACGCTGACAGGATACCTTCATTAGAGTTGAGGCTTATCCATTACTGGCTAGAAATATTTAGCTATACAAATTACTAGAGCACGGCCTGCAGGCTCTATCGAGCTTATTAACACGAGGCAGCGGATCCCTTTAGTTTGATGGGAGTGTGAAGTACCTGGTACAGAAGTGCAGTAGTGAGTACCATCGTTTTCGCCAAGACACCTCTGCATCTGGCATTCGTACCAGTTCAGGTGAACAGACTTGGGGACTGTCAACTGTCAGGATGAGAATTCGTACTCTGGAGTACACGGGTTCTTGATTGATGATGCTGCTGTCGCTATTAAGACCGCTTTTTAATACTAGTAGCTTCTTCTACAGTAACTCATTCGGAGCCAACTAACTCCCACGTCCACAATCTCCAGGTCGGAGGGACCTGCAACGCCGAACGGCACAGCAACCTTTTGATTCAATCATTCAATGCGTCCGCTTGCACGAGGACTTCTCTGCTGAAACAATTATGCATGCAGCTACTAGTTAGCTACTATGATTTTACCACAGAATTCACTTGCTCGGTGAACATTCCACTTGCCCCAGCAAAGGCGGTATCGGAGAGCGAGCGTACATGCTCCAGCAGGTACTTCGATAGGTCAATTTGGACCAATGATCGGCAGAGCTCGTTCCGGTTAGGGATTTGACCTCGTCCTTCATGAAACTGAGCGTTGATTTCCCACTCAATGTAGACGTTGTAGTTTTTTCGGGGAGAAGCCGATCCGAAGCGAGGCACCGAAACTTTTACGCTGACGTCGTCGAAGACGCTGCCATATTTCTCTCGTAGGCTCGACGCATAGAACTTTTTCGTAGTACTGGCCAACGCGCTGTATTCCTTTTTGGAAGGCTCCGACTGCAAGTCCGGAACAGTGAAAGCCACGAAGACATCGGATGTGGTGACTGGGTTTTCTACCTCTTTGTCGTCTTTCTTTTTTGCTGGTTTGGAAGCGGAAGTCGGAGGCTTTCTACTAGTAGGCGAATTCACGGTGACGGTCAATTCGGATCCGTCAGACAGTCCCATATCCTGAACTGATGTATGATTCTTCATCTCCTGTCCTCTACAGTTGAGGGTCTGATCTGAGGCCTTCAATCCTGTCTTCTGCTCGATCTTTTCCTTGATGGAGGCCCCACTATCTGAGAGCTCTACCTGTACAGGAACTGTTTTCCCGTCTGGTGTCTTAACATCAATATTGATGCTCCTGGCAGACAAATCAAGCACGGATCCGTCTCGGATACCCATCCCCTCCACAGTCTTTTCGTTGGGAGCAACACTCCCCTGGAACTTGAGTTCCTGTTTGGAAGCTTTCAGACCTGTTGCCTTCTCCAATTTGGCCTTGATGTCAGCCATAGAATCAGCAGGGTCGACCTTTAGTTTGATCTTCTTCCCTCCAGGCGCGTTGACATTGACATTGATCGTCCTTGGTTCAAGATCCAACACAGCTCCATCTTGGATTCCCATCTCCCCCACAGTGCTATCATTGGCAAGTGGTTTCCCCTCAAACTTGAGCTCCTGCTTGGAGGAATCCAGGCCTGTTTCCTTCTCCACTTTTGCCTTGATATCAGCCACAGTATCAGTGGCATCTGCCTGTACAAAAACCCTTTTCCCTGCCGGTGTGTTGACGTAGAAATTGACCGACTTTGGCGCTAGATCCAGCACACTTCCATCCGTAATGCCGCAGTCGGCTGCGGTTTTCCAAGGATTGAACAGTTCTTTGTCGCCAATCGACAGCTTTTGATTCTTCACTGGGATCCCAGATAATTTTGCCAACTGTGTCTTAATTTCTGACACAGGCTTGTTCAGGTCCACCTTAATCTCCATGGTTTTTCCGTCCATGGTCCGGACAGTAACAGAAACTTCGCGCAGAGTAACATCAAGAACGTCGCCATTCTTAATTCCCATATTGTCGACTGTGGTGGTACCGGCCATTTCCTTCCCCCGATACTTCAGGATCTGATCCGATACCTTCAACCCAGTTTCTTTTTCCACCTTTTGCTGAATGGATTTTGCATCATCCGAAGGGTCGACTTGAAGGTTGATCCTTTGCCCATTTGGTGTCTTTACAGTAATGTTGATTGCGCTGGATCCCATGTCAATAACACTGCCCTCTTTAATCCCACATTCTTCCATTGCTTTTCTGGGTTTGTCTGTTGGTAGTTGATTGCCGCCCATGGAGAGATTCTGCTTGTTAGCGGGAACACCAGTTTCTTGTCGTATTTGGTTCTGAAGAGCCTCCATAGAGTCGGACGGTCGAACGAGCAGCTGGATTTTGCGTCCACCCTTCGCGTTGACTGTGATTGGAAATTTTCTATTGCGTTCGGCTTCTGCCTTTTTGCGGGCGTCTTCAGCAGCTTTTCGTTGTCGTTCAGCCTCTGCTCTTTTGCGGGCCTCTTCTTCAGCTTTTCGTTGCCGTTCGGCTTCTGCCTTTTTGCGTGCCTCATCTTCAGCTTTTCTTTGTCGCTCAGCATCTGCTTTCTTGCGTGCCTCATCTTCAGCTGCTTTTCGTTGCCGCTCAGCATCTGCTTGTTTGCTTGCCTCTTCGGCTGCTTTTCGTTTCCGCTCAGCCTCTGCGTTCTTGCGCGCTTCCTCTTCAGCTTTTCGTTGACGTTCCGCCTCTGCTTTCTTGTGTGCCTCCTCTTCAGATTTTCTCTTTCGTTCAGCCTCTTCCTTTTTACGGGCATCCTCTTCAGCCGCTTTCCGGGCACGTTCCTGGTCAGCCTTTCTTTGTCGTTCAGCTTCTGCTCTTCTACGTGCCTCTGCTTCTTCTGCTGCTCGTCGAGCACGCTCCTCCTCGGCTGCCTTTTTGCGCGCCTCATCCTCAGCTTTCCTTTGTCGTTCCGCCTCTGCTTTTTTGCGTGCATCTTCGGCTGCCCGTCGAGCACGTTCTTCTTCAGCTAATTTTCGTTTTCGTTCAGCTTCTGCTCTTCTACGTGCCTCTGCTTCGTCTGCTGCACGCCGAGCACGTTCCTGATCCTCCGCTTCTTTTCGTTCCGCCTCTGCTTTCTTCTTCCTGGCGTCTTCAGCTGCCTTTTGTTGTCGTTCTGCATCAGCTCTTTTGCGTGCCTCATCGGCAGCTGCGCGCTCCTCTTCTTCCTTCCTTTGTTGTTCAGCCTCTTCAGCTGCACGCCGAGCACGCTCTTCAGCAGCTTGCCTCTCCCTTTCAGCTGCTGCTCTTTTGCGTGTCTCTTCAGCAGCCTTTTGCTTTCTCTCAGCTTCTGCCTTTTTGCGTGCCTCTTCAGCAGCCTGTGCTTTTTGTCGTGCCTCTTCATCAGCCTTTTGTTTTCTGTCAGTCTCTGCCTTTTGTTTTCTGTCAGTCTCCTTCTCGGCAGCCTTTTGTTGTGGTTCTACCTCTGCCTTTTTGTGAGCGTCTGGCTTTTTTCGAGACTGACTGTCACGTTGCGCATGTTCTTTATCCGAGGCAGCTCGTGGTTGCGGCTCCGAGGCACTACTACTACTACTTGGACTACTAGCAGCAGCAGTAGACGTGGCAGTATATCTTTCAATGGCTCGTTGTGCCATTTCGGAATAGGAGGGTCTCTTGCGCTCTTCTCGCTTGGTGGTGGTAATGACTCGTGTCATGTGAAAGAATCCTCCTCCTTGTAATCCGTAAAATCGCAACGATTTGGAATCGTCAAATTCTTTTTCAAATCCTCGATAGAAAATGTGAATTTCGTCGACTGGAATCTCCAAATGATCGGCAATGGGTTGCAGACATGCCTCCCGAATTTCAATGTCGGGGTCGACAAAGAGTTGGAACTGGTAGGGTTTGGGAGGTTCATTGGGGTTGGCGGTATCGACAATGTTGTATTCCACGAAAATTTCTCGTTTCATAAAGTCCACTTTGGTCAAGCGAGTAGTCTCCTGTTTTCGTCGCCTCGACGTCATGCCTGCCATTGCTCCTTGCTATCTATTGTTCGTTTGTGGTGTTGTATGTAGTTGTATTAGTGTGTTTTAAAAGGTGTTGGCTGATTTTGGAAGGATCGGTGGGTTGGTTGCACGTATATACCGTATGGATAGTGGGATCGACTGCAACCCAGGCATCACAGGGTCTTGCCACAGAATTTTTGACTCGTTCTCTGGATCTTGCTGCATGCAGGACCGGACCGATCCTCACGATCACTCACGTAGGATAGGTCACGATGACGACCGATGGTCGGCTCGACGCGAACAATTGTACATGTACCTGGTACCGGTGCCACGCGAACACTGCTTGGGTACAGCAACGCAAACGCCATGACGAGGAAAGATACCTTTACCATATAGTATTGTAGAGCCAGGATGATAGTACCGGTACAGCTCGTAGCCGCAGCCTCATGCGGTCATGCCATCATGCCGTGACGCCAAGATCTCGATTACCACCACACTGCTTTCTGTCAATCAATCAATCAATCAACCGACCATGCTGAAAGCATCCGATCATATTCGCTCTCGTCCTTCCAGTGTTCTGGTACAAGAAACTCGAGGGGCTCCCTACAAGGCAGTCTCCATTCTCCTGGCGAGTTTCTTTACCGTTTGTGGTCTGCGCGACATTTTCTTTTGCGGGACACCCTTGACATCGGATCCTACCGAAGCCTTGTTGCTGGGTCCTTTTAAAGATTGTCAAAATGATGCATACCAACAAGGCGTGTCGGGTGTCTTGGGAGCTCTTTTGATTCTCGTCGCCATGTTGCGAGGGTTCATGTGCACTACCGAACACACGGCCGATCTCTACTTTTCCATGATACCCTTGGTCTTTATCGATGCCGCGTTCTTATACTTGGCACTGAGACCCGGGGTGGGTGCCGTACCGACCCTCTACGTCGCCATGCAAGCCCTCGGATTGGTCTACGAAGGATATGTTCTGCAGCTGGCACGACGGGATTATCTGGTGCGAAAGAGAATGAAAGAGGTAAAAGACATGATGATTGACTAGCTGACTACGTCCGTGTAATCAACCAGCAGGTAGTTGGTGTGTCGGTGAGTGAGTTGAATACTTTCTGAATATTTCTATCCAAGAAGAAAGGAAGGAGAGCTTGCATTATGGGAAAAAGTGACGTCGCCCGTGTGAACTCAACCCGATATATTTGTTCCTGTCAACCGGCTCCGGACATGTGCATTATTGATATTGTTTTCTACTACAGAATTATGTGAACTGTGCTTCTATAGTTTCGTTGCTATGATGTGCACACTATTATAAATGAGGGACAAAGTCGTTCAATTCCTCTGACTGCTTGCTGATACGGTAGCCGACGTACGAGAGTGGAAAAGGATATATTTCATAAACCTGAAAATGATGAAAGTGCTCCCTTGCCTTTTCTCCGAGCAAAACAGCTTTGTTAGGTTGCTTGAACGCATTACCGGTGCCGGGATGCTCTCCTGATGAAAGCTGCTACGATGATTGAAGTATGCATATCACAGCCTTCTACATACCGGTACCGGTACCGTAACTCCAGGTCGGTGAAAACGCACCGACGAGGGGATGCAATCTCCCAAGAGCAACATGAGGGAATCGAATCGACGAAGTTTAGAATAGAAACTCTAGGACGATTTTCGATCACAGCCCCAATTACCGATAGTACCGTACGAGTCAACCTGGCCTTCCGGCCGCCTTCCAACCACGGTGACGTGCCGTTGGCTGTCGTCAAGCTGAGATTGCCGAACGCTGTGATCCTCGTGTGACGCGTACCACGCATTCGTTCCTAGTTCCGAGATTCGATCATCCACGGGCATCGCCTTTTAATAGCTTGGATCAAGACGCTACGAAGATCCATTCAACAAGCAACCATCGAGCTGCTTTCCCTTGCATTCTTGAACCACATGGATGTACGCCAACAAAGGTGTGAACCTGCCACTGATGAGCAGTGAAGGCAAAATGCTCCAGCCAAATTTAGTCCTCCAGCAAGAAAAAGTTGCTGATGGATCAGTGGAAAGATTGATCAACGAGGCTTCTCAGTGTTTCTAGCTAGCCAGCCCAGCTCGTTCCAGTGGTCAAGCCGATGAAATCAATGCTCCAACCTCCATGCAAAACCGTCCATGTCTGCCTTTCAAATTTCATTCGGAGGAACGACAAGCTGTGAATACAGCCTTGCCGCCTTACAAAAGATACAGGATCTTTTCATTTGACACACCACCAACGCCAACAGCATCGGATTGTAATAGCCACCAAGTAAGAGGGGTCTAGCTAGCCAGAGTAGGGGAGCGCAGTAGCTAGAGTAGCTTGGGTGGAGAGATGAGGAGATGCCACCCGCAGCGCCAACGCTGGCTTTGGCTGTTCTCCGTTCTCGTCATGATCCAGCTTGAATCCAGACAAGCACAAGGATTTGTCATGATACGGAGACGAGCTTTGGTTCCACTGCAAACAACAGATCCTTTTCTGTTGGACAATGCGTGGAAAGAACGACCTCTCGATGCACCACTTGTACGGCCAAAACCATCTTTCTGTCGTGATCGACTCCGAATGTTCTTGTCTCCTTCCACAATGACATTCTCGTTGACACGGATCGTCTTGTTACGAGCACTGGCGTTGGTCTATTTTGTGGCCTTTACTGTGGCACTGCGACAGAACAAGGCATTGATTGGAGATGATGGAATCACTCCAGCCCGCTATGAACTCCTGGAAGCCCGTCAACGAGCTGTTGAGCGCAAGAAACAACGGGATCAGTGGTTGGATGGGCTGCTGGGAGACACGAGAAAGAAGCGATCTCCCCTGACCACTTTCAAGCTGCGAATCCAAAAACATGCAATCTACCAGAGACTTCGAGAAGTACTATGGGATCGAGCGGATCGCATGGGGCGACCACTGATGAGCGTCTTTTGGTTGGCAGGCAAAAACAACTATGAGCGTTTGAATCCTTGGCTTGATGCAGTTGCCGTGATGGGCATGACATTGTCTGGATTGGTGGGAACCCTGGGAGCCGCCAACGTCCCCATCTTGTTGACGCTTTGGATCTGTCAACGATCTCTCATGTCCGTAGGTGGTTGCTGGTATGGCTTTGGATGGGAACCTCAATTGGCCGAGATGGGCTTTCATGCACTCTTTTTGGTACCACTGCTGTCCCTCCAACCCATTCCACTGTCCAATCCGACACCACACAGTATTGTCATTTGGTCCTTTCGATGGTTTTTGTTTCGCATCATGATGGGAGCTGGATTGATCAAGTTCAAAAGTAACGATCGAAAATGGAAGGACTTGACCGCCATGAATTACTTTTACGAAACACAACCCGTCCCCAGTGTCTTGACACGGACCATGCATTTCATGCCCACGGCATTTCACAAGTTTGAAGTACTCATCAATCATTTTGTTGAAGTGGTGGCTCCATGGTTCTTGATACTCCCATTCGTGCCATGCCAGATTCGACGTGCTGCCGGTCTGATTCAAATTATCTTTCAATTGGTACTCATTAGCACGGGCAATTTGAGTTTTCTGAATTGGCTCACCATGATTCCGGCCATTGCCTGTCTCGATGATGCCTGTTTACGACGACTCTTTGCACCCTCCCGGGTGGTGGAAGCTTCCATTATGGCAGCAGTCGCCAAGGCGCCGACGATTCCGGTCGTCCCAGTGCTGTTTGGCGCCTTGGTCACATGGCTGAGTGTCCCCGTGGTGCAGAATTTGCTCGCAAAACGACAACAAATGAACGCCTCGTTTGATCCACTCCGATTGATCAATACGTATGGCGCCTTTGGCGTGGTCGATGAAGTGCGAGAAGAATGGATCATTAGTAGTGCGGCGTCCCGAGACATGGAGGAGGAATGGAAAGAGTACGAGTTCAAAGTCAAACCGGGCAATGTCCACAGGAAGCCGCGATGGATTACACCCTATCACTACCGATTGGATTGGCAAATGTGGATTGCTTCTTCCTGTCGAACGCTCGACCGCAGTCCTTGGTTGTATCGGTTCTTGATCAAATTGTTACAGAGAAACCAGGGAGTCCAAGACTTGTTGGCCGAGGATCCATGGAAGGACAGCACACAAGCCCCCAAATACATTCGGGTAGATGCCTACAAGTACAAGTTCCACCGTCCTGGTGAAGCGAAGGACGGTGGCTACTGGGAGCGGGAGTTTGTGAGGCGTGTGTATCCGCCCCAGGGCGCGGCGACTCTGGAATCGCTGCAAGAGGAGATTCAAGCCAGTCAACCGGGCCGACCAATCTGAAGGTTTGGAGCCTGCTCTCAGGAACCAAAGGAAAACGGAAACACAAAAGAAAAATTGAAAGACTTAAGAGTTACTCTACATCACCACAAGGCGTCACTCGATCACAGCAAACAGAGGACCACAGCATCCTGAGAATCCAATTTCCGCGTCGTTGCAATCTTCTACAACCCTGCTTCTTCGAAACTACGCTTCTTCCCACTCTGCCTACTGCCGACCTGGTCGTTTGTTGCAGCAAAACTGATCCATTTGGATGGTGACTCTCTCAAAAGCCCATAAACGAATGGGAGCGACATTCTGGATTCTTCTGACATGGCGACCACAAGAAGATCAACAAAATCCTGAACCAGCATTTCTTCACAGCGCATCTTTCGTCGACCCAGACGGTTCAACTCCAGGAAGTAGCCAGCCTTGTTGCCATTGCTTAGTGGTCGATCTTCACCTCCACCCCGAGTGGTCAGTGAAACGTTCTCCAGCGTTACATTGTGATCCCTCAAGACATGGCCAAAAAGCTCTCTGTTTCTGGGATGCGTGTAGCCCTTACACTGAAGAGAAAGGTAGACAAGACTAGTGTTCCTTTCAAGGTGCCCGCAAAGACCTGTGATATCAACGGGGAATGGAAATTGCAGCTTTCGAAGTTGTCGTTTCTCCAGAAGCGACACTGCCGCTCGTGTCAATTCATTGCTCTTGCAGTAGTTGCCCGGAGGCAAGGACAATTCCTTCATATACAACTCTTTTAGGGAAGGAGCACGTTCAAGCATGGCCATGATGGAATAGAAAGACTGCCCTCGAAAGTCTACATCATTGATTGTCACTGATGCCAGACGGCAAGCATCCCATGGCTCCTGGGGTGTGCTTGTGGGTGTGCCAGAAGCCTCTCTTAGGACAAAACGTTTTTTCGGGGACGCTCTAGCTGGGCCACGTGCCAATTTCTTCAAAAATTTGGAAAAAGCGGCTTTACTTATGTGCCCCACTTCCCCGACGGTCATGCTCTTGGCCAGGTTGTGCCTCGACTTATGCGTCCGCCGTTCCCACTTGCGTCAACACTTAACGCTCTTAGCCCTCGACTAGGCACGTGCCACAAAAAAGCTGGCATAAATGACTGCTGGTCAGCGACGCCTTTTCACCGCTGCGGGACTGTCTGGCCTGTAGTCCGATCCTGGATATATTTTGGGCGCTCCAGTCCGAAACAGAGCTCCTACTCGCTCAATGGATAGATCATCGAGGTTGGAGAGGGACAGATGGGTGATGCAATTGTGTTGGTTGTGCTTCACTCCGGTTGTCACAGCATCAAGGTATTGCACCGGAACAGCAGGATCATCGTCAAAGATTGAAACTTGTGTACGAGAAACAGTGAGGGATTCCAGTGAACGAGTATTTAACATCAATGCCTCCAGCGCCGATGCTTTCCGCTCGATAGCATCACCCTCCTCAGGTATGATATCTTCATCCTCGTTCTTGAGAGCCAATACTGAAAGATTTGCACCTTGTAAAGCCGTCACAACGTGCAGACACGCATCTTCATCAGCAATCTGCCCCCCAAAAAATGGGATGTCCAACATCTTCAGCTTCGGAAGCACTTTTTCTAATCCTTGAGCTGCTCTCATATCCAACCGCCTTGGCTGGAATCGAAAGGACAGCTTTTCGCTTTGCAAGTTGGACAAGATGTATTCGATGAAGACATCACAGTTGGCTGCCACAGCCTCTGTCAAAAGGGTATTCCATTTTGTACGATCTGCCCAAAGGATGTCAAGTATTTCCACCATTGTTTGGTATTCTGTTTTGCTTCGTTCCTTTGACAAGGCATGGTGGATGTACAAGTCACACAGATACTTAGTGCCAATGGCCCTTGTTCGTGCAGAAGGGCCAAATCCAGTTGTGAAGAGGAACGTCATGATTTCCTTGGATAATCCGACCACCTCCGATTTACAGGCAGAGTACCATGGTGGATAATCTTCATCTTCGTCAATATCACACCACCGATCTAAGCATTCTGGAAAGAGCTTATAAACAGCATCGAAGGTACCCCAGTCTAACCAACCAGCACTCAAGAAAATTGTTATTGGGAGAACTTCATCACTAAACAAGCTTCCCAGGTCTGCATCGAATAGTTCACGGGCCAACAAAGGGAATTCCTTGAGCCTGTTGCGGGCTTCCTGGACAAGAGGTCTAGCATTGGTCGGTGACTTCCAATCCCCATGGAGGAACAGTCTTTGCAACCGCTGACGCTCTTGACAAGTTGGAATCGCAGATTGCACAACACGCTCTCCTTCTTCCTCCTCTGGTATATACAAGGGATTATCATTGTCTTCTTCGTCCCTGCTGTCATTATCAAAAAGCCCCGGTTGGCCTGGATCTTGTTCGGTTAGGTCTTGCGCGTTGTCGGCTTGGCTGTATTCTTGCTCGCAATCACTTTCGAGCGAGTTTTCGCCCCCAACGCGTGGGGGGGGGGTCCTCATCGCCTCCTTTTACGCTGGCGACTTCTGGAGGCGCTGTTATTGGGGAGAAGTCAGCAAGATCTTGCTTTGAGGACGACGTGTGTTTTTTTCTAGCTAGAAGGCTGTGTTGGCTGCGATTGAACCCAGGAAGGTCGAAGGTCGAAGGGATCCCCGTCTGGAAGACCGACTCGACTCACTGGACTCAAAGCTGGCAGAATTTTGTTCCCGAATTGCACGAGGCGAGCCCGGCCTTGTCTCAAATGAATAATATCCTGGGTGGATCTCGGGCCCGTCCGAAACTTCATTCCAACCGCTACATGCATCAGGCATTTCTGCTCCAGTACGATGGCTCTTGTTTCTGCGGTACCGCTACCAATACCCTATGATGCGCTATAGGCCACCGAATCCACATCAGCAAACGTCCTAATATCTGTTTGCTCCATCCCTATTGCCACATATCTGGACCAGTTGCTTCACAGATACGGTCATGCAAGCAGCAAGTAACATGGAGTCCCAAGAAGAAGTTTCCTTGTCTCTTCAACCTCCATCCTTTGCTGGTCAGCCAGCTGATGATGGATGGGAGGTGGAGGCGAAGGGTAATGATGTAAACATGAGACCAAGGATTCATCTAAAAACACGCAAAACAGAATGATGAATCTACCAGTGCGTGCGGGAGTCCACATTCGAATTGCCCGCAACTTGGCTGCGAACAAGCAATGGTGGATGGTGGAAGGCCACAAACACAACAATCCAACTACAACATCCTTTTGCCATGCTCAATTCAATCACTCTTCAGCACAGAAAATGAATCATGGTGAATGATCCGAGAGTCATTCCAGGAGAGGAAGGCATGATGTGCCGCTAGATCATGATCACCTTTCGGTGGGAGGCTCTCCAGGTTCCTGCATTGGTACGATGCCATACTGTTGCGAAATAGATGAGACTTGAACCCCCCCCTCTGATCAATGGCTTATCCGTCTCCCAAGAAGATTAGATTCCATACCGAGTATGCATTTGGTATTTCTTGATGGTCACGTGGAAGTCCCCTTTACATCATTCAGAGCTTCCACCACGCCATGTATTCCCGTGATCCTGAGTACGGGAAGACGAGCAGATAGTTTCTCGTCAAGATTTAGCTAGTCTTCGAAAGGTGAGCATGCGAGACTTGGATGAATCGCCCATCGCCTGTCTCTTCTGCACAAGGATGAGCAGCAAGGGAGACGACGACTGCACAACGTCCAGGGCACGAATAGACCAGCTACTGGTCTCGCAGCAGCTACGAACGTTGGTAGCGCGATGTGTCAGAGGTTGCGGCACATCGATCGGCACGAATGATAGATTTGACCTCAAGAGCAATAAGATAGATACTGGTCATGGAGCTCTTCATTGCTTTCGAGTGTGTAAAACTGCGACTATCGCCTTCCACAAGAGGCTTCACCTACGCTGCTTGCCTCGAGTTGCTTCTATTGTTCAAGATTTCCGTGGATCCAACAAGTGATAGCTGTTCGTTCTGAGTTCGAGGGTAGCACCTGATGGCGTATCCGACTTGCATCAAAGACGACCATTGTTCCTCCCACGGGTTCAATGTCAAAGTGTTCCTCCTCCGACTCATTGTTGGTCCAACATCGAAGCGAGCCTCCGGCGTCCTTGGGTCGATCAGCTGCATTGAGGTAGAGTATCACCGTTACGACTCGGCATCTGACATCGCTCAGGCGCCAGTACTCCAAAATCCCCAGCTCAAATATTGTCGAAGTGCATCGATCCAAGTGCCGCCGATAACCCGCAGATCCATCCCCAGCGTACACTGCCAGCTGGCAGTCCTGGGGTATTCGCAAGGCACTCACTCCTTGATAGCTTGCCCTTTCCAGAGCGTCGCCGACCCCTCTTATCAGTCGAATCGGAAGCAGTAGACCATCCTCTTCTTCTTCCGAGGCGACTCCGACCGCCGTCGATCGGACCCATTGGATTTGGTCCTGACGAACGTCTCTATCATTGAGGCTAGTATCAAACTGCCCCTTTAGTAGTTGTACAGCGTATCGAGCATCGTGTAGTTGTTGCCCGGAAAGCACCTTTGGGATTACGACAATTCCAGCTGTCTCGAGCTCTCGTACCCTTGCGGTGGTCAAGATGTTGTTGGAAGCAGCAAAGGAGCAGTGGGCCGCCGTGTTGGCGTCTCGGAGGTTCGTTCTCAAGTAGGCTTCAGCCAGGACACCAATACAACCCGCTGGCAGGAAGACACCTATAACGGTGTCGAAGCTATAGGAAGAAAGGCGGCGCCTCCAAGACATTGGTTGGTCAACAATGCGCCGAGGCGTAAAGACCGTGGGATCGGTCTGCTATCAGCTATCAGTGGGGTTGCTCTGGCATGGTCGGTGGCGGCTGTTGTTGCTGCTTCACTGCTTCATTGTCAGGCGCAAAACAAAAGGAATGAGACGTCACTCCGGTCGACTGTTGGACGTTGTCGCCGTTGCGACAGGAATGGGAGAATAGAAGCCAGCCCGTACAGCTTGTTGATCCAAGCAGCACCGCACAATACTGGTTACCGGTGGTACAAGTAGGATCCACCACTGTTGGACGTCAACGCAAACCCATCGGCGAGCTACTTTGCTCAAGTTCCTGGTCCTCTTCCGGGCAGAACCAACGCATTGGTCGAAGGCTACCAGATACCGGTACCCATATCCTAGCGAAAAAGAGCTGCATCCTCATTTATTTAATGAATGAAGTTAAAGAAAGCGTGACAACCATTAGACTAGATCTAGCTAGACTTACATGTAGTACATGTATGGTCCACGGGAGGACCGAATTGAATTGGGGCCCTTACTCTGCTTCCTGTAGAGCTTCCAGTTTTCGTTTCTTCCCACTTTCCTGAGCACCCCTGACCTGACACCTTGCTGCTGCCAAACCAGTCCACTTTGATGGAGACTGTCTCAAAAGACCATAGACGAGTGGGACCACCATGGCGGGCTCCTCTGACAAGGCAGCTGAGATGATAGCGAGGAAGGAATCAGGAAGCATTTCTTCACACCGCATCTTCTGGCGACCCAACCGATTCAACGCCAGAAAGTAGTTGATCATGTTGCTATGAGACACATATTCAAAAGCTTTAATGGTCATTGCCAGGGACTCCAGTGTAACATTGTGATCCCTCAAAACACAGCCAAGAATCTCCATATTTCCGCCATGCATGTCTTGGTCCTTACATGAAAGGCAAAGGTCCACAAGACTGGTATTTTCTTCAAGATGCCTGCAAAAAAGAGGAATGTCAATATGGAGCTGGAATTTCAACTTTCTAAGTTTTCCTTTCTCCAAAAGAGACACCATGGCCTCTGTTACTTTCCTTTTACAGCTCTCTTGGCACAGAAACCCTTGTGTCACATGCAGCTCTGTTAGGGAAGGAATGTTGCCAATCATCATCATGAAGGAGTAGAAGGAGGACCCACGAAATCCTACTCCCTCAACTGTAAGTGTTTCCAGCTGACACATATTATCCCAGAGATCCTGTTTTGAGTGCTCGGGACTGCCAGAAGCCCATCTTTGGTCGCTATCGTGAACCATGCAGGACCAAATTACACTTTTGTTGCCCAGGTCTATTTTGGATGCACCTGTCAGGAACAGACCTTCTAAGTTCTCAATGGAAATTTCTTCAAGGCCACGGAGGGACAGCTGTTTGATGCACTTGTGCTGGTTGCTCTTCATGCCACTGATGACTGCATCTAGGTATTTCAGTGAAATGCATCCATCGAACATCCCCACAGAAAACTCAAGGGATTTGAGCGATTGAGTGGTTGACACCAAAGACTCCAGTGCAGCTGCTGCCGGCTCTATGACACTGGCCTCCTCAAGCATGTCATCATCATCTTGCCTAAGTGTCAATGCTGAAATATTGGTGCTTTGTAAGGCCCGGAGTACAAACACACTGGCTTCCGCAATACTTCCAAAAGGGACATCCAAAGCCTTCAGCCGTGGAAGTACCTTGTCCAATCCTTGAGCGGCCCTCATGTCATATTGTCTTGGATCAAATCGAAAGGACAGTTCTTCATCTGGCAGCTGGGACAAAATGAATCTAATAAACATTTCTGAGTTTGCTTCCACAGCTGCATTCAAAAGGGTATTCCATCTTGTTCGACATGCCCAAAGCATGTCAAATATTTCCAACGTGGTTTGGATCTCTGAGCTGCTTCGTTCCTTTGACAAGACATGTTGGATGTACACTGCACAGGGAAAATTAACACCGATTGCAAATGTTGAAATCCGCGCAGCTGGGCGCAATCCTGTGAAGAGGAAGGTCATGATTTCCTTCGACAATCCAGCCCCCTCAGATGTGAAGGCAGGGTACCATGGTGGATATCCTTCGTCTCCGTCAATACCACACCACTGCTCCAAGCATTCTGGATAGAGCTTGTGGATGGTGTCAAAAGTTTCCCAGTCCAACCACCCAGCACCCAAGAAAACTGTAATTGGGTATTCTTCGAAAATCAAAAGATCCTCATGACGCCGCATATCGAATTCTTTTCTGGCTAAATGAGGCCATTCCTTGAGTATGTGGCATGCTTCCAGAACGAGAGGTCTAGCCTTGGTGGGGGACCTCCAGTCCTCACGGAGGAATAGTTCGTTCAACCGCTTGCTCGGGCTTTTAGTTGGTGTACCGTTGGGTTTCTGCTCATCGAATTCTTTACTGTTTTCTTCACTGCCAGTACCGGTTTCACTCCCAAACGGCTCATTGTCAGGAACCGTCTCCATTTCCGCTCTTTGCTCTGCAGTAGTACCGCTATTAGTAGTCCATTTGCACTCTCGCTCTTGCTCTTGCACTCGGGTCCCACTAGTACTGTACGGTATCACACCCTCGATCCTTCGTGCCTCGGCAATGAAGGTTGGCGCTGTGGCTCTTCGATATCTCTTTGAAACTTGATGGGTAACCCTTACGCTATCAAAGATACGTTTTCGGTTGCATAAGCCAGCCACAAAAGCTTTTTGGGTGTGAAGAGGGTGACAACTGCACCTTCCGTCTTGGACGGATCTTTTCAGATCTTCCTTGGGGCTCACCAGATGCTGCCATCACACAAAGACAATGGGGTCCAGCTAGCTAGCTAGAGTACTGGGGAAGGGAAGGTGAATGCATTGAAGGGAAACCGGCATTCAATGGCCAAGTCGCTCTCTGTTGGATTACAAACCCCCACTTACTTGAGTGTAACGGCGCTACACCAATATGAATCTCCTCCGTTCCTTCCTTTTCCTTCAAGCTACCTTACAGGTGGTAGCTTCATCCAAAGAGGGAGAAGACAATGCCCAGACGACACGTAATCTCCGGAAGCTCTGGTTCGCTGGAGCAGCAAATGACCAGCAAAACAGCAACACGGACGGGCACCTTGGAAGCTTTGATGAGCTGCATGGTATGGACTTGCTGACGGAAAGCACTGGTGGTATCCAAGGTGGCGATTCGGGAGGCGGCGATTCGGGACTTCCATCTCTGGAAATCGCGCAAATTTTGATCGAGCTTGACAAATTGCTTACCACTGCAGAGGACGCTGAAACTTTGGAAGATGCCCAAGCGGCCCATAGTGATATGCGTTTCAAAGTAGAGGAGTTGATGATCCTGTTCCCTCCCCCGCAAGAAGAGGGCGGTGAACTAGGTCCACTCATTCCTCTACCAGGAAGTGACGGCAGCGGCCTGCCCCCAGAGGAAAGTGGCGACGACGCTAGTGATGACGGCGATAGTGATGACAGCAGCGACGATAGTGATGACACCAGTGAGGATTGAAGCGAGGATTAAGCCAAGAGAATGCAGGTATTCCAAAATCACTTCCCTGCGGTATGTACCTATCCAGAATGACGACGGTCGGTGGTGGGTGAAGCAAAAGTGTCTCACACAAAAGAATGACAGTCCCTTCAGGCTTAGCCAGTGGCAGTACGGTAGCAAATAGCAATGAATTACCCCTTTCAATATCAATGCATTCATTGTTGGAGCTGCTACAGCACAGTAGTATCCTTGACCTCTCCTTGATGCCCAAGACGCTTGAGCATTGGCAGAGCATGAGGAACGGTGCACGAAAGTCCAATTCGAAGGTTGTAGCCAGGTTTTGTCTGGTCTGGATGTCTGAAGACTTTTTGACGAGGGTGACGATGCCTAGCATCGATACGGTAGATGAAACGCTACGAAGAACGATGGGTTTTGGGTCAGGGGTATGCTTCAGACTAATTGTTCCGAAGTTGGATTCGAAGAGCTGATGTGCCGAAAGTATTGGGGAAGCATTGGGCTCTCCTAGCTAGTTTCCTTTCAATTCGTTTAGTTAGTTTTCACTGATATTCTGCATTTCAAAGTCTCACCAGAAGAGGAGTACAGTATCGACACCGTTCGATGGTCTCTGTATTGCGTTTGTGCTTGGAGAATAGGGGCACAGAAACTACGTTTATGAAACCGATGTCATGGGTCAATCCATACACACAAACCAAAATACGCCACTATGGGATAGTCTAGTCATACCGTACGCACTCCAAAAGTACCTGATTACTCTCTCTACTTGCAGTATTTTGTTGCTTGTTTGTCTTGTCTAGTATTACGCGGTGGAGAACCGAAAGGTTGCCATGACGGGATAATGATCCGAAAGATCATTGTGCATCCCCTGTTTCTCCGGCCAGTGTTTGTCCAGATAACTCCAATACCACGACTCGGCTGCTTTGAGCGGCACCACATCAAATTTGGCACTGTCCCCCAGAGGTTGCGCATATTCAGAGGGGATCAACAAATAATCCAAAACTTCATTGCGTTCTTCCGACTGGGCATTGGCGCGCGCATTGGCTTTGGTCATCATGTTATGGGATGTCGAAAAGGATCCAATGGGAGGCGGATTGTCGCAGTGCACGGTTGTCTGGAGTGTGCGTTCCAAGTCGTGACGAAACTCTTCGGTGGTCAATTCGACATTCAAGTCGCCTCCGAGAATGACGCGTTCTGTAGTCGGCAAGGATAGTTCTTGTGTCACGTAGTCTCGCATTTCTTTCAATTGCGCCATGCGGACTTGATGCGTATCGGCGTGAGGGACGTGTCCTTCGTCGGCTTGAAGATGAGTGCCCAACACGTGTACACTGTGGTTGCCAGCAACGGCAATTTTGGCATAACAAATCCCCTTGTTGGCCCAGGCATCCCACGTGTTGGCATGTGTCGTTTGGTAAATGTACTGATGCTGTTCTAGGATTTTGTGTCGACTCAGGATCATGACACCGCCATTGATCATGTGATATTTGTTGCGAAAATCGCCGGATGTGGTCTTCCAATTGTGGGTGTCAGATTTTCCAATAATCGGCGTTTGGTAGGGAAAGAGGGATTGCAGTTGTTGCGCAATGGTGGCCGCATAGCTATTAAAACATTCGTTCAAGATCAACACGTCGGGATACTGCGATTCGTCGTCAGTACACATCTTTTCGATTGCTTGAGGAATACGAGCGGCTCGATTGGCTTGATCCCACCAAGTCTTGGGGCCCATGTCGTACAGTTGCTGGATGTTGAAGGTCATCACCTTGACGGTAAAGCTATCCGAACTGGAAGATGACATGTTGGTGGATAAAAAGAGAGACAGTACTACCGGTACTACTACCGATGAAGGAGGTATTAGCTCAATGCTGTTTGCTGCCAACAGGAAAAGCACAAGGCCAGAGTGCATGGTGCCATGTTGGTGTTTTTGATTGTGTTGGCCAAAAGTGCCATTCTGGGTCACGCTTGCTGTGTCATGAGGGACTGGTCATGTCGTGGAAGCGTGGCGTGGTCGTCCTTTCGACCGGCATCGAGAATCGAATCAATGGAACAACCAACAAAACAGAGAAACGGTACAATAATGATGATGAACGTGTCACCTCTTCCTTTTGCCTTCTTGAATGCCATTGTCTCCTCTTGGTTCTCCCATGCACCATCAAGCTGATGGCTCTTGCCGCTGCAGTCCTGGTAGAAGGCGCCTTCGTTCACCTTTTCAGGGTTCCCGGTTCGATTCGAAAAGTAGCCAAATGCGGCTTCCCTACGGTACGGCAGGTGAGCGCCTGCTCAAACTCATTCCAGGTGGGCATCTTCTGACAGCTTACCAAGGCTCCAAGCATACCCTTGAAGCTTTGCGGGTAGAGGGAGTGGCTCGCCATGATGCCTCCGTTAAACTAACGAGCTAGCCTCCTTGATTCGGGTTTCTTGCTTGGCTGCAAGGAAAGCAGCATTCTGGAGAATATCAAAGCAATGGATGCAACAGCAGACAGCAAGAAACTGAAATGAACAATCCAAAGAAGGTTTACCCAACACTTATGGATGATGCTTACCGTACAGGAGCCTTTTTGTTTACAGAGATTGCCATGGCTACAAGAAGCATGGAAAAGGCATGCCAAAGGATTGAAGAGGCTGCTAAACTTTATTGACCAGTATATCCCACTACATGACCTCAAGAGTTGGAGCTTGACCAGGATACCGGTAGCTAGCGACCATGGTGGCGAATGCTTGTGTTGCCAACTCGACGGACTAATATTGCCTTGCATATGAAGACTATTGTGTTCAGCCATGCTGCCCTTTCGTGTTTCTTCAAATGAAAGCATTCTACTAGCTAGGCATACTAGTAGCCAACTATTGCTTTGTAGTAGCCAGTGCACCAAGACGGAGTTCATCCTACAGTTAGTTGTCAACCCACTGATTCTAATCTGTTCTTGTCTTTTTATCAGCTGAGCCTTTGAGTTGTCGGCTCTTCCACTAGCTAGCCGCATCTGCATGATTGTTGACCTGTTTGGGTGATTTAGTTCCTACTGGCTAGCTAGAGATGTTTAACAACTACTACATGTAATCCTTGAGTGAAACTGAAACTGGGTGATTTGCGTCTTTTTAGGAGACGGGGCAAGGGTTGCCTCAGCAAGAAGCAAGATTCCTCTCGAAAATTCTAGAGTGTTCTTGAAGGCATGATTGAAGCCAACTCTTCCGAGTTCTGACTCTGATTCGAGCTCCTCGTCACTCATCTCTCAGCTGAGCAAGGACCTGACAAACTACTACCAATACTGTATTACTAATATACAACCGTAGTCACATGGTCGAGGGTATCAGGCTTTGGGGGATTGCACTGGTTGATGGAACTTACCCAGTAGTCATAGTAGCCAGTTCCCCCCTACTTTGGCCTAAGTATGGGTATGCTTTATTGGGGTATAGAGGTACTGCATTGGTCATTGAGAGTATTTCGTTGGGGAAAACCAGGCATTTAAGGGTATCTGATACTACTCAGAATCGCATATTGGTAGTTGCATCCCCAAAATACAACTTTTGCCTAAGTATCTTTTCGCAATCGTGCATATAATACAACCTAGTCACACACAATTGTTCCGCGAAACTCAAAGACTTATGGTCCCGGAACCTCTCTCTTTGTGTTGAGAGAGGGTAAACTGTGCAAGATCCTCTCAGCTCAACTGCTGTATCCCGTAGTACGGATCCTACAGGACGACTTGACCGTTGCTTGGATGTAGTGCCTCCGATCGATCAGTTTTCTTCATTCTTCCTCTCTCCATAAATTTGGCTATTGAAAAAGGCGAAAGCTATGCATCACTCTTTTATTACTCTCGCTCTTTTGTTACTCTCGCTCTTTTGTTTGTTATCACTCACCATGGCTAGGAAGCGCAAGTCACTTGATCAGCAGTACTGGCCGGCCATTGCTAGGTTTATGGGTTGGAAGCGCGGTCGTCACTATGGTAGCAAGAAGAACTTTACATAGGTATGTCACTCCTTCGCTCCTTCGCCAAATCGCTCCACGATTTCACTCTGCCGCTCGCTCACACCATGGTCGCTCTTCTTCATTTTTCTTCAGGAGGATTTCCTAGCCATTACACCCACTGATGTCACCCAGTTTCTGAACTTCCTTGCCTATGGAAAGATCAACCCAGGGCCCAATGACCGCCCTACCCACAAGAGATCTTCCACTCTTGACCAATACAAGAAGGCCATCAGCTACTTCCATCCGAACCGCCACGCATCATGGGCTGTTGGTCCCAATGTTGGGAATCCAACTCGATCCAGGGTTGTCAATGAAGTGATCAAAGCTGCGAAGAAGGCTGAGGTCAGGAAGCAGGGCAGGAAATCCAATGTCAAGAGGGATCTCAAGATTCGGGAATTCCGCAAGACGATTCGCATTGTGGAACGCGATGGAGGAGTGAACATTGACACGACGATCAAGATCCCAACCATGTTGAAGGTTCAGTTTCACTTGATTGGCCGCACTGATGATTTGACCAACATGGAGACTTTGGATCTGCGCAGCCACTCCAAGTTTGGGAACTTTGCTCTTGAAACGAAGGTCTCCTGGAGCAAGAACGTCATGGAAGAGCGTGCTTGCCCGAACCAAATCATACTGGGTGCCGCTGATCCTGACTTTTGCATCCTGGTTGCCTTGGCTATTTGGATCGAGACTCTTCTTGAAAGGGGACACGGTGATCCCAAGTTTCTGTTGTTTGGCCAATACCGTGTTGGCGATGAAGAAGCGTTCCTTGCCGCCATTGAGGCTCTGGACAACGACGAAGAGCTCGATAAGACGACGATCGAGACGGAGCCTGACTGAGTCAACGCCTGGTACCAACGGGCTTTGAAGAAGGCTTGGAAGGACCCTGAGTTCGTGGAGCTTGCGGCTCAAGTCCAGGGAAGCCTTGGTACACACAGTGTGCGCAAGTTGCCTCCAACCTACGCTGCCGAGTGTGCATGGGATTACCCAGGCCGAGAATGAGACTCGGGGTTGCCGGAAGGGAGAGAAGAATGGACACATCATCCATGTGTACATCAACCTGGAGCAGCTTCCCACCGACGCCAAGGTTGCTGAACGCTCGCTGTTGGTGGTCCCGTCAAGTACAGCATCAAGGCTGACAGTGGTGTTGACCATGGGTTCATCGGTCATCTAAGAAGCGCAATTGTAGGTAATTCTGAAAACGAGACCTCAGGTCTCGTTTGGGAAGCACATCCCAACCTCTCCTTCCGAACCAAGTCCAAGGTTCCAATTAGGCAACCGGTGCTCCAGGTTGGGAAGTGACGTACTTTACAATCTACTACTGGCAGGGGAAACAACTTCAGTACATGGTATGTTACCTTTGTGCCATTGGTGTATCCAACCGTTAAGTCATTGTCTACTAAAAAGAAGTCACATCGCCATCCGTTTTGGATGGTCAGAACATGAAGAATGCATTCCCAACAACAATAGATCCTGCACAGAGGGGCTATTAATCGCAGAGGCGTTACCTACCAAAATGGGACCTGCAGGTGGCCAAGTTTCAACTAAAACAGCTAAAACGAGATAAGACTAGGATAAGAGTGGGAATATCAAAATGCTAGATTGTTAACGCTAATCCAAATAGAGCAGTACTGAGTCACCAAAAAGAGGATCACCGTAAAAGATCCTCATGGTGAAAGGGGTGAAAAGGGTGGAAAAGGCTACCAGATGGGCAACCACCACCGACCAAAATTAACAAGATCAGCAAAGGAAAGGGAGGCAATTGGTACCGAAAAAGCACCGAAGGCTTCCGAACAGAGAAAACTGGGCAACAAATTTCTCACAAAAGCCCTGCCAAAAAGCACCAAGGGGAATCAAAAGGCGGCCAAGGGCTTCCCATTCAATGGGGCCTTGGCTGCCAATTGACAACTGGAAGGACCCTAGTCACAGTCCACCAGATCATCGTAGGAACGCTTGCCTTCTTCTTCTTCTTGTTCACGGCATCCGGATCGGGCTGGTGGTCTTCCTTCCACAATATTGCAACATCCATTTCAGCATTTGTTGTTCTGCATCTTGGGCATTGGCTTGGCACGGGCATCCTGAACCTCAAGCTTAGGGCATTGTAGCGCCTTCGGCTTGCATTGGACCAACCTCCTACTTGGCATTGCCCACCTTGGAGTTTGAGTACTTGGTAGCAAACTTTTTTGTCTCCGAGTTCTTGCTGCTCTTGGGGGCAGTCCATTTCTTTCTGCACAGTCATGTTCCCAGGCTGGAAGCAGAGGTTCCATCTGGTGTAGGAGTTCTCGTAGATGAGGAGGGTCATTGCCTCAGATCGGGGAGGAACACACAGCTTTCCCTTCCACTTGGCCACACTAATCACTGGTTGTGGCGGATTGACTCCCTAAACCAGCTGGATGCACCAGCAACACATGGCAAAAGCTTCTCCGTGTAAGGGAAGAATGCAGCTTGATTTCCTCACGCGCTGCCTTTTCTTGTGCACTGGCATCTTGGGCAAGGTCTTCAAAGAGGAACCTCCCGCATCAACCACAGCTTTGAGCTGTTCCGGAGTTGGCATCTTGTCGAGTCCATGTGCAGCACAAAGTCCTCGGTCTTGATGTCATCTGGTTCACGACGAAGTTGCGTTGCTCGTTCATGATTGCCGTGATAGCATCTTTCCAATGGGCAACCCATGCGGCGCGCCTTTCCTTATCACTGTAAAGAAAGAGAAGAACAACGGTTCCAGATTGGTCAGGTGCACTGGGCAATTAGACAACAAAAGGTTCCCGATCGAGTAGCGAGAACTTACCCTTGTCCTTCTTACGGTCGCCGGTCAACAAGAAGGCCTTCTTGCC